GAAAATTCGGTGAGTACTTTGAACGTCAGCATTGTATCTTGCCTCAGCACTAGCTAACGAAAGTGTTACACTAGGCGATAACTCTACACAATACTACTGTTACACGTTCAAACCTGTACAAGTCTCGTACTTGTGAAAATAGAACTCAACGATTCAACTAGCGGTTGTTAAATTAAATGAAGCGTGTAATTTAGTAACAAGAGCCGAACTTTAGGACGCTGAAGGCTGAAAAAAAATGAAAATAAAAAGATTAGATAAATGAAAAACCCAGGTTACCGCCGCGACAAGTTCCCTGCTGGGAAATGGACACAAGAAAGAAAAACTTTGTAATATATGTACTTTTTCGTTCTATAGGCGGAAATGGAGCCTTTAGCAATGACCAGCATTCAGTTGGTTTCCAAGTTCCTTTTCACCACTGGCTTCCGAACCAAGAAAACCATCAGGTCATTACTGAATTGTCAACATTATATACCACCTGGTTTCCTTCACTTTTAGCGTCGTTTTCATTGTGTATCTTTACCTCTGTAGTGAATACTCGATATCACGATAACATAGATATTAAACACTTTGACACAACGAGTGGCGCAACTCAATAACGCTTACTGTGTATGAAACCTGCTCTGACTGAATGAACGCAATCTTTAATGATATGATTTACTGAATGGAATGAGGAGTTAATTGTTGTTCGTTTGAACCTGTCGCAGGGGTCCAGCGGGTGAATGGTACGATGCTGTGTGTGTCTTACTCAGACAGAGTAAGGCTGTCCGGGAGTGGTTCGCCAAGTTTGTGTTGTTCTCTCACCCTGATCGCTTTTCAGAATATTTATTGGAGTGCCCCAGTGGAGAGGTAAGATATTATTTTCCTTCTATACAATTTGGTTTGATTTATTTCATTTCGTGCACGGGGACAGAATGTTCGTGTTTCATTGTTCCGGTGTCCATTTCTTTGTGTTTTGTAGGTACGAAGTGCCTTTGCTAAGATTTTGGTGTTTTTAGCTCACTTCTCTCGTCAGGACGGTCCGTGCTATCCGTACCCGGACGACAATAAACAGGAATCAGGTTTGTTAATTACAAAAAGCGTGTTTGAGTCACATGGTTAATAGTGGAAATGTGATGTTATGTTTTATTTTTATATTACAACACAATACGCATGCCTGAGGCTGCTTGAGGTTGGGTTTTTCGATAAATGGTGATAACTACTGCAGTGCCTATTCTCATCACACCGTAATCCTCATAAGGGATTTGCTGCAAATTCGCTTATATCGTGCGATAACTGTTTTATGCAATATTGCGCCACAACGAACGTTTAGTGATGTTTTGAGTTTATTTAGTGTATTCGCTACCAACTGTCGCTCCGTTGAAAGGCGTTAGCTCTTCAAAAAAATTCAATGGATTTGCGTAAAGATACATGTAAAATGCTTTTTTTCGTTGTCGTGCCGTTCTGTAGATCTTGACAACAAAGCGACCTTGAGTGACCATATCCTAAGTGCTGTTCTTGGATTACTGAAGAAAGAGGTTCCGGAGCACGGCCGTCACTTACAACAATACTTTCACTTCTTTCTCATGTACTCCACTATTGGCCCACCCGAGGTATGAAACAGTATCATAGATGTCGTGCTATGAATTAGATCAAAAGTGGTCCCATCTAGCAAAATACATCAAGCAAGAAGTTTTCATTGTTCTGCTAATCCAGAGAATGTCTGCTTTGTGGTAATAATGATTTTGGGCTATTTCTGTGAGCGATACTAGTACGAATGTGCAAAGCTTAAAATAACTCTTATGCTGACTTAAACAGACTATTTTAGCAGACCAAGTTTTAATTTTGTTGTTATCATTGTTATCATTATCATTATTATTATAATCATTAATTTTTAGCATTTTAATTATCCTGTCTTCGTATTCACAAGTAACTTTCATTTTCTTTCTTCTTGACAGAGACTTCAACTCTTACAACTTGGTGTTCCGGCAACTTTCATGTTGGTGGCATTGGACGAGGGTCCAGGCCCTCCCATTCGTTACCAGTATGCTGAACTGGGAAAACTTTACTCGGTTGTGTCTCAGTTAGTTCGCTGCTGTGACGTTTCGGCCAGAATGCGCTCTTCTGTACCGGTGAGGAATCCTGTAACTTGCAAGAATTGTATAATTAGGATTCTCCTCGCATCATATGTGCTACTGAATGACCGAATGTAAAAAAAGTTTGTAATTCAGCCTTGAAATAAAAAAGGCAACAACGAGCGAAAATAAAAGTGTTTTATGTAGCGGCAGATGAGGATTTCCAAGAATTTTTGTCGTTGGAATCTTATCGCTAACACTGAAGTTGTCGTTGGTATTTTCAGAACACGCAGCCAAGAGCGAATCCGTTTGATGAAGGGCATCCAGTAATGGAGATTCAGCCTGTTGTGGCAGACATTCTGTTCACCAAGGCCACGTTAGTGTGTTGTTGGTGTTATTACTGCTATTATTGTTGTTGTTGTTTTTATTTTTCTCTCTCTTTTTATCACGACTTTTTTAATTGACCCACAGATACTTAAAGAAAGTGATTGAAGACAGCACAACTTCAGAAGACACTCTGAAACTGTTAAGAGTAAGTACATGACAGCCTTCCCTACTTGTTTTGATAACTTATAGCTCTTTAAACAGACTTCAACTATTTGGTCAACAAGATAATTTGGATTTTATCAACTGAGTTGTTAATGTAAATTGGCCACTTTAAAGAGTTTTAAAGTTGACGTTTCGAGCGTTTGCCCTTCGTTAGATCGAAAGATAAAGGGCTAACGCTTGTAACATCAGCTTTGAAACTCTTTACATAAGTGCTTTACTTAAGTGTAGTTACCGGAGAGAATTGCATCCAGGCCTGCATCAAAACCTTTGTTATCTAATCCAGCACCTGTGATTATTTTCAGTTTTGCTGTTGGGAAAATCCACAGTTCTCACGGATAGTACTGAGCGAACTTCTCTGGCAGGTAAGTGTGGTATCCTTGTGTATTCGTTGATATACTTATATTTTTTGTCGTAAGTTAACCCTTTTGCTTTTGTCCTCTTTTTGAATTTTTTTCTTTAATTAGTTTCTTGGTGTTACGGATAAATTTCTATCATCAATTGAGGTTAAAAGAAAAATAGGAAAAAAGACGCTGAACGATGCCAGAACCTGAACAAAACAGCTAACAAAGTGTAGCTTCTATTCCATTAAGAAGCGCTATCCGCCCTATCTTTTCATCTTTTTACTCATCTTTGTACTATCTTTTTACTTATCCCTTGTTCTAAGGTGGCATTTTCGTACACATATGAGCTGCGACCATACCTAGACTTGCTTCTGCAAATGATGCTTATAACAGACTCCTGGCAGAGTCACAGAATTCATAACACTCTTAAAGGTAACAACAGTGGTTGATTTACACATGTTGCTCTTTGTTTAACAAAGCCATTTCGTAATTTCGGTGCATTACCAGATTAACTTCTACATTCATGCGAGAACCCCCATAGTAACATTTGTTCGTGTGAACTTTTTTTAAATCGCCGATTCCGTCTTTCCCGAGAACGTCAATCACGCGTGAGGCCATCTCGAAGTTCAGTGTCAAATGAGTGCTTTTCAGATTTAGAAAGGAAAGTAGTAACGGCTCAGACGAACAAAACATTTTAAACACAACAAGTTTTCTTAGTGAAACGGATTCCCTCTTCTTTTGGATTTGAATGCTGATATATTTGTTTGTCCAGGAATTCCAGACGACAAAGAAGGTTTATTTGACACAATTCAGCGCTCGAAGAATCATTATCAGAAGAGAGCGTATCAATGCATCAAGTTCATGGTCACACTCTTTTGCAGGTCAGTAAGTAATTGTTGGAACATAACATTCAAACATCTGGTTACCAAGAAAGAAACCCAAAAAAATTGGCCACGGCCGTTGCAACAGTTCCTTCGGGCTCTGATTCTGTCCACTATTGTGGGGCAAACACCCTTGTATGTTATTAACCCTTGAGAGTGATTAGTAACTAATATCTCCCATCAGCATCACCCGTAAAACAAACATTGATCATCCACTAAGGGGTTCTTGGTTTTAAACCAAATACTCCTTGTTAGTACCATAGGAAATGTATGGAAAAAATTATGGAGAAAATGTACACTGATGTTAGGGTGTAAAGGGTTGATTAGATACAAAGCTTTTAATCGCTTCCTTTGTATTTGTTTCCTCAGCTGTCCCCTCGCGCACCAGATTCTCATGACGGCACAGGACCTCCGCCGGAAGTGGACATGGGCAGTAGAGTGGCTTAATGACGAACTGGAGAGGGTTAGTTCTCTCCCACATTGGTTTCCTTCTTTTACGTTGTATCATAATGAAATATTTATTACTGAAGTATTTAATTCCATTTTAGGACTATATTTTAGTTTCTACATTCTAGACGAGTCTTTCACGAGACATTCTTTCATATTTCGAGAAAACGTAATTTTACTTAGGAAAACGTTTCGCTCGTAGCTTCTCTATCATTTTAGCTACCAATTGTTTATTGAAAACTGCTCCGTGTATCGGCTGCATTTTTCGAATTATTGTTCATGCTATGATTGTAATCATAACAATTACTATTTCTTTATTACTTTGTTTCATCCGGACATTTCTAGCTGTTGTTTGTACAATAAAACTTGCTACAAAACTGTCAATGCTCGCGATTGCTGCGCAGACAACATTGAATTCTGACCCGTCGTTGTATTTTAATTACTTTCCAGAGACCGTACACCGGAGGCACGTCTTACACGTACAACAACTGGTCACCACCGGCGCAGTCCAATGAGACTTCCAATGGGTACGTCGCCGCCTGCCTTCTTTGTTTTTATTTACTTTATAAGACATTGCCAAGTTGAGCATAAGTCAGTTCAAGAGTTTGAATGAAACTGCAAGAAATATAGGAAATTTGCGTTTCTATACAATTTTCCAAAATTACGTGCTTTTTGTTTGAAATTAATTGTTTTTTTATATTATTAATTTTTGAAAAAAAATTAATCCAGGTACTTCCTTGAACGATCACACAGTGCACGACTCACACTCGCCAAGGCCTGCGAACTGTGTCCAGAAGAGGTAAAGTGTTCTGTTTGTTTATTTTATATCTTTGAACACAACATCAGAATATTCACCCTTATTGTCTCTGTACTTTCTCAGGACCAAGAAGAGCCCGAGGGGGACGTAGAAGGGGAAAATGGGACCTCTGCAGACGAGGCTTCCCCAAATGCTGAGCGCTCGAGTCCCCGACGGAATTCTGAAGACCAGTCTTCTCCGATCACTGAACAGATTCCACCCTTAGACAATAGTGATACTGTTGATAATGAATCCACGACCAAGCTGCTAAATGAGGAGTCCGACTGAGCACTAAGTGTGGTAGAGCCTAATGGATATTTCTGTGAACTGCAGTAGCCATCACTGGGCTGTTGTCTACCGGTTGGTATCTCCATGGCAACTAGCAAGCCACGATTGCGTGGATACAGTGGCATTTGTCACACTCTGACCCAATCCTATCACGGACAAGAGACACCGCGTCCGTACTTGGACGTATTTACTTTGATTGTTACAATACCTTGGAGTCGAAGTGGAAAATGCTAATTTATTTTTTTATTTAATGTAGAGGGCCGTTTACTTTGACATAACGACTCAGTTTTGTAGTATTTTCAGATGGTGTTTATATGCGATGCTCGATTGTGGTGTAGTTTCAATCCGTTGTCTTTGTGTAGCCCTCTCTCTTTCAGTCTGACGGGGATAGAATAATCACAAGCCCGATCAGCATCCGTTTGTCAAGAATTCTCTGTGTTCTGTAAAAATTTTAAGAGAAAAAAAATGGAATAATTCTAGAGCCTATAAAAAGTACCAAATAGAAGTATTGTCACCTGTTCATTTCTTGTGGTCTATTTCTTGAGTGAGAGGAATAGCGAAGTAGGTAGATGGGAAAGGGTTTGGTAGGTTGTATTTTGACTGAAGGAGCTCTAGTTCCCACCGTGGTGGCGATTTGCGGTTGGGTACCAAAACTAATGCCCTTTTAATTTTGAAGGCTCTCAGCTTTTTTAAACACTCGAACCTCACCAGATAGCGAACAGTGACGTAACTAAACAGGTGTCTCGGTTCCATTCAGCACCCAGGGAATAGCTCCTCCAATGGACTTTAATGGAAAATGCCTTGCATGTGTTTTTTTTGGTTGTTTGTTTCCGTGTTCTATTACTTTTCTCGCCGTCCGTGTCCTCCAGATTCTTGTTAAGAGTCGTGTTTGTTAAACCTACAGAGTACATAAAAGTACTTGCATGCAAAATGCGATCTTTACTAGCTAGATCCACGACAATAGGGAGGTAAAGGTTTAATAGAAAGCAGTCTATTATGATTTTTTTACACCTGGTGGACATCACATACGTCATATGCACACTTTTGATGAGACTGAAATTTACGCTTCTCATTGTTAGGCATGATAAGGTTTGTGCATGGTGTCTTGTGCAAGATATGTTGCGCAAGATGGGTGCATGGATGGTCTGGCGAGCTCGTAACATTAAACTTCGTGGGATTTTCGCTTCATTCTCGTTCTTTTTTTTTTCAATTTTGATCAAGAATTTTTTTGGAAAATGATACAATCTGGTTCTCAAACTTGATTAGTTCTCGAGTGTGGTTTTCCGAAAACAGCAAGCTTTAAACCCTATGTCGCAGATTTCAGAAATGTTAACTTACCCAAAAGTCTCTAGAAGAGGGTGCAGAGGAATCTCAGCTTCGGCCGAATATCTACAACGCACCGCGAAATGTCTTTGCTATTCGAGATCTCAGCACGTGTTCTACGGAGGAAATTTGCACCCTCTGCGTAACGCAGCTCAGGATCGGGTACGACGTCTACTTTACAACCAGAAAACATCGATCTCGGTGGACTGATCAGCACCACGTAAACAATACAAAGAATAAGCCCCATGTTTTTATGTATTAGCTGTCCCAATCCTAAAGAGATTAAGTGTTAAAGAGCTTTAATTTCCATATTAGAGAACAAAGGTCAGTTGGGAATTCAGTACAGCGAAATTTGTGGTCGTGTCGATCAGCTGACTTCCTTCCCTTGTATAGTTTGTGTGCTTCTTTATTTTAATTGCAACATCGCACGATGAGAAACTTCATGCCTCGAGCCGCCCGTATGACACTTCAGAAAACGTGCCAGAATGTTTACACGGAAGTGACGCCGTGTTTTGAAGCCTGAGTCGAGTCACGTACTTGTACTGTTGCTGGATAGGACATACACAAAGCTATTGTCTTAGCTTTAAATCATAATTTATCAACCTTCGCTGAAGGATGTTGGAGCATGCAATCAGAATGAAAGAGCGAGTTGGATCAGCGAACAAGCTTCGGAATTATGATACGGACGGCTACATAAAGCGGGCCGGCTGCATATGCTTCAGAACAAACCATGCAAAGGAAGTAAGTGATTTTGTATTACAACTTCTTCACTAACTCAATTAGTGGTACCTCATCCTACCGATGCGAAATAAAGTGGATGTATCTAAAAACATCATGATCTTGACAACAGCTCTACATTCTTCGGAACAGAGGTCATTCTCTCCTTAAATGGAGTTGAAAGGCCCAAAAGGGTAAAACCGCTAGAGATGGAGAACACATCATTGACATGTTAATTTTCCTAGAGTTATTGCGACATCTTGTAGAGTGCAAATGCTGTAAAACCATTCTTGCTGTTCATGGATTGTGAGCAAGATGATCGGAATTGAGCGTTGGAAGCAATCTCTTCCTTTGTATTACGTTCAACTCTGTACGTAGGGCATTGTTAGAACATTCGATCATGCCCAATATATTTGTTTACAGCCAGCAAAATGTGTGTTTTCAACTATTTTAATCAACTTTGATAACTAACTCAAAGCGGTGCTCGATGGTCTGCTTAACTTAAGGCAAACAAGTTCTTTCATCACAAAAATCAGCGCAAACGAATCGAAATAATATGTTCTGATGATGATAACAATGTTCTTCAATATGATCGGGTTGAAATAGCAATCCTTCGTTTGACAGATGCCATGCTGAAGCGTGTAGCTTCCTAATCTTGCTCTGCTGAGCACAGTCACAGTTTTGTTAAAGGGCAGCTTCATTGTATACAGGCTCTACAACATTAAAGATTAATTTTTACTAATCGAATTTGCTCTCTCGGTTTTTGTTTTTTTCTTTGGGGGGGGGTCAAAGTTTTTGACTTGAATAGTTGAACTTTTGGCGATTACATGACAGTCTTAGTCACGTGTATTGCTACTTTCTCCCTGCCACTCTTAATGTTTCCAATGGACCTGTGGAAGAGGGCAGGCTTTGTCTTATCTCTCAGTACCCACTACAATGATTGGTCAATTTACGAATAGATAGTGTAAAGCTGTTTTTGTTGCCAAGATTGTTCTTATTCTTCATTGATAGAAGGCACTTTGAGATCTTTTGTCTATCCTAACTTCTGTGCTGAGCGTGCAGACGACAGTGCGATTCTCAACGTCGAATTTTTCGTTGTGTCAGTCATTTGAAGCCTTCCACGTGGCTAAAAAGCTCGTTCTCCGAAACCTAAAGACGTACAGTAGAAGTTAAATGGGTTTCTTGGTTACTCTACCGTCTCTGTCCTTACTGATGAAATTACGGCCGATCTCAGTTTTTTCCCAGTGTTATTTATGGAAATCAGCACGGTCCCCAGACTCCCCATATGGCCTGTAAAAATTATCTTCACCACAAAATCGTAGTTCAGTAAAAATAATTGAAAAACAAATCCAACCGTAAAGAAGGAAGGAAGGTCGTTAGAGATTTAGGAGATTGCTTTTGATTGGAACTAGAATAGTTCTGGCTTAATTAGGCCTATAAAAAGTTGCTGAAAAAAAAAATAATTTCACAAGATACATAAACCATAGACTTTATGTAGTACTAAGAATTACTGCGTTTGATCAGTTCCTCCTCAATGGGGTTTGAATGTTCGCTCTTAGGCATCGTTCTGTGCACACGCCTTCATCTTTGTCATTAACCATTGACCTGACGTGCACGTTTTGTTTTGAACAGATTCTGTTGGTAACAAGCAACAGGTATCCAGATAAGTGGATAGTGCCAGCGGGAGGAGTAGAAGCTGGAGAAAGATTCCAAGATGCAGCTGTTCGAGAGGTTTTTGAGGAAGTGAGTCGATTGTGTTAATGGTCCACTATTAACCGATCCAGGAATTTTTTTTGCTGCTGTGCGCACTTATCGTTCGCCTGGCGTTTGGTTCGAAGAGACCTTCTCCATAGGGATCAGATAAATTATCATTTATTATTACATGTAGCATAAATAGTACTCTTTCTTTATTCCCTAAACGGGCAGTGTAACTTACTTTTAATTTCAGGCTGGAGTGCGTGGAAATATTATGCAGTGTCTTGGAGTGTTTCAGGTATTTGAAATGTGCGACTTCTGTAGACTCTTTACAGGTTATATTCTCTTTAAGTTAGTTTCCGTGATACCCTCTTTCCAAATTAGGTTAGAAAAGAAAAGTGGCACTTAGTATGTCACTCTTGTTTTATGAAATCTGTCACTAAACAGTGCAAAGGTTAAATGGCTGTTCTTTGCTGCAAAAGGTAACGAGACAAATCTTTGCCAGATGTCAGTTTGACATGATAGAATCAAGCATGACGTGCTAATTCCCTCAATCATCCGATGGGATGCGCACGTTTTCACTTCGTCGCGGAAATGGGAAATCAGATTTTGTCACGAAAACATACCACTTTTAAGCATTGCTATTTTGTGCTCATCGTCCACCAAAAATTGTTGTTCTAAACTTTCTGATTTACTGCAAATTTCTATATCCTGACACTAGAATGAAACAAGCAAGACAAGAACAAAGATGTATGTTCTGCATGTAACAGAAGAGTGTGATTACTGGGATGACGCCGCAAAAGGTATCTCTTGTTACGTTCTGACGTGGATCTGCTGGAAACGTGCCGTATAGGAAAACTATGGGGAAGAGCCATTTACCAATGACACATCACGAAACCTCAAATGCCCAAAAAAATTTGAGATCTTTCTGAGAAGAATATCTTATCTAGTTTGATTTTCAATCTGGTAAAGTTTCTTCTTAATCAGAATGAAAAGTACTTGTAAATAAGTGAGTTACGTCGAGGCATTAAAAAGCAACCTATATCAGAAAATAGGCTTTGGTTAGTAACAAAAGAGAAATGTAATCGATTGTCGTGGTAGATAACCCTTTATGCGTCACCTATATGCGTGGTGCTTAGCTGTATTGTTCAACCTGTTGTCTGAAATTAATTATGCTTTGTTTTTCGCGTATTTCAGGGCGAAGGAGAGGTTGGTTCTCAATACTCAAGGCATGGGAACTACTCTCTCACAGACCTTGTCAACAGTTGTACCTGCGTGATGTTATGAAGATCGATGAACAAAATCAGTGGCTCTATGACTCACCGATCCGGTTCTCTGCGCCACTCGTCATTAACGAATCACGAAACAACCAATCAAACGCTGAAGTTTCGCCGTAGCATGTAAAGTAAAACCTTTAAAAATATTCTTTTGGTAATGATCATCACTGTCCTAGGCGTGACAAGAGTTATTTGGAATCAATCACTGGACTGGATGTAATTTAGTCGCGAACGGTTGCGAAAGAATTGTGAATACTTTCATCATTTAGTGAGGATCGCTGGGAGGTCTTACACTAATTTGGGTGTGATTTTACTCACAAGTGGTCGAGAAATTATTGTATATAGTTTGTTTCATCAATACTCTGAACACATCCTAAATTACTCTGAATCAATCATAAATTATTGTCGGGTATAACGATTGAAGGCAAAGGCGGAAGAATTTTGTGCATAAGCCGTTACATTCCTTAATGAACTTCAGGAATCTTCACTTTGTTTGCTTGTTATTCACTCGTTTTAAAAATAAAAGGTTCCTTCCGAAAACATCCGAATAGTCCAAGATCACTAGTGTTTTCTTCAAAGATGGAAATATTAAACATACCTCAGATTTAGGAACTAATTTAGCAACGTACATGCGCACTGAATCGATTAATTTTAGGCGCTAAGTCAAGCAGATATCCTTTTCAAACTCCGTTGGATACGGATTGTGGGGATAACTAAATGACAAACAATTGATCACCTTCAGGGAGGAAGAAGCAGATTTAGGCTGCAAATGACAACTAGTGGTAGAGAATAGTCGAGTTCCGAGGCTCGTAAGCTTGGTCGCGCAAACGCATCAAACATACTGAATACAAGGAAGCTGAAAACGGCATTTCTTTAGAAACTCAAACATGTATTTTGATTGTGCATGCAGTTTCCTCTATCAACTTTTTTAATTGTTGTAACTAGACTTCTCACGGCCCATAGCCGGTGCTGATGAGTAGGATCTGGGGGAAGAAAATGCCTTCGATGTTATTCTAAAGATCGTTAATCACTGCTAACTGTAAAAATATTCTAGGGTGGTGTTCAATTGCACAGCACAACGTATGATTTAGAATGACCAACTTGACTAAGCTTGGCTTTTGCTCAGGGCGAGGAAAGTTCGTGATATGTCGGAGTCGCTTTAGCCCGTTTTCTCACAGAACAGTCCACAGCGACAGTGGAAAGTGAGCATAAACTGATGGGAAAGAGTGTACTGTAAAAGTTACTGTGTAGAAACGTACAGTAGTCTGTCATTTCAAGCTCAGAAATGTAATAGGTGAGATCTATCCTAAGTAACCTTTACTTTTCCGTTACTTTAAACCTGTTTAGGTTAATTTACAATCTTTATAGCTTTCCCGTAATAATTTGTTTAAGTTAATTTACAATCTTTTTTCTCTTATGCGGCATTTCCTCTGATAGTTAAATACTAAAAAGGTAACTTAACTGACTTTTCAAAACTTAACTGTTATTTATAAAAACACGAAATTTTCCTGCTCATACGTGGTTGCTTAGATGTGCCTAACTGTCTTTATCAGATTTGTTAACTGTGTCTTTCAACATATCCTCGATCCACTTGCGAAACACGCTGACCCGAGTGAACACCGTGTAATGGTTACTCGATGAACAATCCGGGTCACCCCAGCTCACAATACCCTGCACTACCCACTGGCCAGCGGTATTCTTGCATTGCAATGGCCCACCGCTGTCCCCAAAGCAGCCGCTTGTCTTAGTGTGCCCTGCATCTCCTGCGCAGATCATTTTGCTTGTCACTATCCAGGTTCGGTTATCAGTATGAAGCCCACCATTCGGTGAGGTATCCAGTTTTGCTGCACATGCTCCGTTAGAGACAACAGGCATTCGCGCCTGTTGTAGGATCGTAGCTGAATCGCCTTTACCAAACATCTGTCCCCAACCTACAGACATAACAGCTCAAGCGTTTAACTAATTAGACAAGATAAGAGCCACAATATAATTAATCCCCCAGCAGAGTCCATGAGAGAAAGCAATCGAGCAACTTTCGAAAGTTTGGAAATTGGAATAGGACCTCATTCCTTTAAGTTGATAACATTAGTGAACTTATTTCAAATGTAATTTTGGTTTTATTAACTGAGTTGATAAGGCAAATTAGCCACCGTGAAGAGTTTCAAAGCTAAGCTTTGAAACTCTTCACGGTGGCTAATCCACATTATCAACTCAGATGTTGATACCAAAATCATCTTGCTATACTTCCCCACTCAGGCCGACGCAGCACCACAGTTTCTTCAGAAACTTTTCCCCCCTTATTTCAAACGTGCCGACGAGAAGGAAGCTTCTCCTTGTTATAATTTTTCGAACACGGAAAAAGGTTTGAATATATATTATAGCTTTGTTGAGACGAAGATTAAACCTGTGTTAGAAAATCAAAGGTAACTATTAGATTATACCTGTTATGTAACATTCCTTCCCAAGCGGCACTTCTTCAAGAAATTCTGGTAAACAAGCTGTATTCACTAAGTCGCCGCGAGAAGCTTGGTGCGAAAGCTGAAAGAGGGCGATATCGTTCTCGTATGGAACTGGGTGTGAGAATAGACGATGTTTGATGATACGTTTCACCTCAAATTCTTGTTCTGAGCCTTCATTCTTCTTACGATCGATATCCCCAAGGATCACCTTAAACTTGCTGGGATCATCATTAAGTACGCAATGAGCAGCGGTCATAACCCACTCTGCCATAATCAGTGACCCTCCACATATATGGTGATGGTTGAATTCCAAGCGGGCCTGCCATGGCCATTCTCCAAGAGTAGCGTCATCGCCATTGATGACTCGTGAAGAAGAACCTGAATTGCGGCCACAACTGTCACGACCTACATGTGAATAACAACAATGGAAGGTTTGTACTTAAGAATAATCAAGTACATCATGATATTTTACGAGGAAGTTTTTTTTTGTCCAATGTAAAAAATGTCTAATTTTTGATGGTATTTTGAAATAAAACTTACACTTCAGAAAAGTACGAAATAAATGAAGAGGTTAGTCAAGGATTAAGGTAAAACACACTTGAAAAAAATCATGCTTCATACAGAAAGCACGACGTAGTCGTTTTAAGACACAACAATTTATATTGTACTGAAAGGACATTCGTTTTAGGGTAAGAAGTTATTCATCCCAAAACTTCCTTCGGATTCGAGTCGTTACTTATGCACAGTTTGAGAGAAAATAGCGTGACGTTTCACCTTCGTCGAAGTATGGTGCGTGTGGATTGATTTCTCGGATAGGACCATGAGGAGGTGGCATCTTAAAGGTCTTTTGTCCTCCACTGTCTCCTCGTTTTTGCTCTGTAAGAAAGAAATACATCTGCTCAGGTTATTTTTTCAGAGTTGTGTTGAGCTTTAGAGAGGCCGGTTTACAAACAAAGATTCTCTATGCTAATCAGCCACCTTGTGATGCCTATGATGTCAACATATAATGTAAGAACGTAGAGACGAAGAGGCGATTCTTTCTTTGATTGAATGGAATTACTTACTTAAAGGCCGTGAACGTTTCGGTGTAGAACTGGGTAAAGCTTGTGGCGAGAAGTCGTTGAAAATGCTAAGTTTCGATTCTAACCCTTTGACCAATAAGGTTGTCTAACATCTTATTTTCCCCTACAATATCACTCTTGAATCACACAGTAAAGTCACGAGAAGGAAGAAATGATCACCGACTGAAGAAGCTATTGATTGTTAAACAAATTCTCCTTGTCAGCCCCTTATGAAATATATAGAGAACAGCATGGAGAATAAGCATGCTGATGTTAGGGTAAAGAGGGTTAATCCAATTTTTCTGGAGCATTTAGTTTGCCTTTTCCAATTGTTACAAGGACAAAGGGAGAGCTCAAACCCGATTTACTAATTTCAACGTTAATAACTGGAAGGTATGCATGACCGTCGGTTTCCATTCACCTTGCTCTAGGTGAAGGTCCCTGATAGGACCAACAGGAGGTGGCATCTTATGACTATTTGTTCCTCCCTTGACTCTTCGTTGTTGCGCTGAAAGAGAGAGTAAATAAATTAATGAAAGAGCCGATGTGAACTTTTGACCTCGCAATACCTTTGAGCTTGTCTACTGAACGGAATAAGGTCAGTGATAGGTTTCATGCAGGGCTTGATGGCTCCTTCGTGTTAAGTTTGAATAACATACGAACGTTTTCCCAAATCCATGTTCTTTCTACTGCGCAAATGTATCATGTTTTAACATACACATGATTGACGTTAGCGCGCTACGACAATGTTTGTGGAGATTGGAAGTTCGCCTTTATGACTACAGCTAAGGTGTCATTAAAAGTTTCTAAGAAACTGTGGTGCTGCGTCGGTGGGAGAGTATAACAAAGAAATATGGTATTATCACATGAGTTGATAACGTAAAGTGGCCACCGTTAAGAGTGAATCAAAGGTGTAAGGTGTCATTAGCTCTGTGTTGCCTCATGGGTCAGTTGGTAAACAACGCTGAGTTCTTGTTGACGCCACGGCTTCCGGGTTTGAATGTCTCGAAAAACCTTAAAAATCTCTCAGTTTAGGCTTCTAAGGCTTATGCCTTGAATTAATTTAAGTTATTACGCAAAACTGGTCTTGCTCTAAGCATGGTTTTTAACGTAGTTCAATTTGTTCCCAAATAATGAGAACACGTTATCTTGGTCAATATGAGACAGTGTGGTCAGATGTTACTCTAGGGAACAGGGGTTCTATAAAAAAGCACAAAATTTTCCGTACCGATTAACACTGGTATTCAGGATTTCTGGTTGTTAAAATCAGTAATTAAAAATAGTCGATTTTCAATAAGCAAAGGTGAATCTTGCTGCGAGTGCATTTCATATCCATTGTAGCCATATTTAACAGATCCGACTCAATGAAAACAAAACATCCTTGGTATAAAGACGACAGAAGTAACGATCAGACACCTCGTGCACTTCTCTCCAACACGACTTACCCTGCTTCAAATCAAGTTCATCTGGTTCTATATCCGTTGTAAAGAAGGCCGGTTCCTCCAGAGGAGGCTTCAGATGTCCACGGCTAATTATGTGATGCCGACCTGGTCACAAAAACAACAAGAGAAAAAACAAAATAACGCTATATTAGCTGCTGATGAATCTTATCTCCTCTTCGCTTGATTGTAACAGTTCGCTTCCAACTCACTTAATTCACATACAATAGTAGAAAGTGAAAAATCAATACAGCCCTTCACGTTTTTAAAATAAATAAAAAGCACACAAACAAGACTTTGATCGTGATTCTCCGTTTAAGAAAGTGGTATCTGAATAAAAAGAATGACTCCGCTTCCAGATTCATACAAAATATATATATTCTTTTAGTAAAACAAAATGTGACGTAGAAGTTCACAACATAAAGCTGCACGACTACTGTTTTGATGTGATTGCTAATAGATCAGAAATTACCATTGCAGGTGATCAACAGAATCATGAAAGTCGACTTCTTTTCTCAAAACGACACGAAGTCAATAAAATGGTCTAGATATCGAAATATAGGCCTGCGGGTTATATTTTAGATGACGCATCTTCATTATAAACTTGTTATGAATGCGCGATGGTTAGAATTGGAAATAAATTACATTCATAGAGTCGAACAAGTGAAACACTGTTTTTGTATATACAATATTTAAATATCGCGAGAAAATAATCAAAACGTGGACGAAATACAACAGATTAAAGGATAACTTTAACACTAGAGTTTCGCTTTTTTCTAAAATGGAAACAGTGGACTCAAATCATGTTTTGAGCTGCCTTCTCGTGAAGAACACAGACACAAGTTTAGTAAATGTCAAGTCGAGCGTGAAGTAACTCGTGCACTCGATGTTAATGATAAACAGTAGCTACCATACCTTGGTTTGAAGGCAGTAAAACCACAATAACCACAGCGATATTATAAATGTTTATCATTCTGGGTATTCTATGAAAAAACACAAGGACGAAACATAAACTCTCTTGGCTTTGATGGCTTTCCCATGAACTGCTCTTGGCCCCCAGCAGAATCAAGCTTATGAATTAATGGTCAGCCAATCAATTCGTTATAAGAGAGTCGCTTTTCTGCAAAAATGAAAACAGGTGGCGGAAAACTATCACTTCCTTAGGGGCTTTTTCATTTCAGTTGCGAAAACGTTGTGGCTAAATTTCAGATCACGCTTTATATTTCCATCAATAGTTAATGTGAATAATATGAAAATGGACATAGAAAAATCTTATCGAAGTAACTGAGAAGTGAAATAACAAGGGAAAAATTAAATCCTGTTTCAGTTTCTACGGCAGGTGTTTCACAAAAAACTGCTTTAATATGCAAAATTCGTTCAATGATCAACAAATGACGGTTAAAGTGTGTTCGGGTTTCATTTTCCTAATATAGGTCTTCGCATAAAGAGAAGTTTAGCGAGCTTATATCAAATATAGAGGAAATAGCTGGTCGATATCAGACTGAAAATCTTTTAACCTAAGTGCTGCCGCATTGACGACTGACGCCGTAAACATGAAATCAGGAAAATGCAGACGAAATGGTCCGTATTTGAAGATTCTCGGCAAAATACGTGCAGCGATTATTTATTGAGCGGGCTTGGGATAAATAGAAAAATTAACGTGAATATCGATTGTAAGTATCGATCTTTCCAGTCAGCTAAGTCTCTTAGTGCCTTAAAAAAGGCAAACAACTGAGACTTTTTAAAACTTTAATATTACACTAAATTCAAAGAGTTAGACAAATTTGGCATGCACTATTGAGTCCTTAACTCGGAAATAAACAACAGACCCCCTTTTATCGGTTTTTACGAAATACGGAAACGCTGCGGACATGTAAGAACTAATGAACTAAGGTCAAAATTATGTAAATTAGTAAAAATAGGGAAGGATGATGTTTATGAAAGATGCCGAGTTTTTTTTCCTTTTATCTGTCAGTGGTACTTTTAATTTAAGATCTCTTCATCAGAAGTTTTGAGTTTGAAAAACAAAAGGCTCCGGATGATATTTTACGACTGTAGAGTTTATCACATCCAACTCCCCTGGTCAGTAATATGTCCTACTGATTCACAAGCTGAAGCAAACAAGCACGGGACACAAGTGAAGCCACGTCTAGCATACAGAATTGGCGATTTCCTTTTCTCTTGCTCTTTTCAGGTAAATTGTGCCGTTGGACATTTAATGTCACTCGGATGATTAACACGAGTTATATCTGGATTACTTAAAGAAATAAGTTGTTATAAAACCCCATACAATCCTCCCTTATAATCTAGAGGACTAGTAAAAGATTAAACAATATTAAAAACTTACCACAAATTAGCAAGGTGAACAGGGTGGGAAACATTCCCGTTGAGTATTTCCTCAAGGATTATCAACAGGTTTTGGAAGTACGAGAGTAGGGGGACGGGAATAGTGTGAAGCCAGGACCATTTCATTTTCTCTTATGTCTACCTGCCATACTTGTCACAGATCACTTCAACTTAACGAAAATCACAAATTATAGAAAGAGTTTCTCCACCCAAAGTCGACGACTTAAGGATCGGAGGAATAACATGTAGAAATTTAAAAAAAAAAACGGTTTAATTTTTTCTTGCAATAGTCCAAAATGCTTTTAGTTCCTCAGCAGGTATGAATCAAACCGCACTTATCAGGGACCACCGGCGGTTTGCTTCGGTGCCATGGCTCACGTATTTCGGCGGGACACAGTCGATCCAGAAAGGCCATAACGAGACCAAACAAGCCTTATATATCGTCTAAGCTCAAACTCTAGTTTCAGGCGACATAACTTCGGGCGTAAATATCCTCATTTTCTTAGAGAGACTGTCTTGATTTCAGCCATTTGCCAATTGACTTTGTGTATTCTTTTGGCTTTCCTCTTCTTTTATTCAAATCCCTTGCTCCTCTCCTAATCTTCTTATTTTTTTTTTCTGCATAAAGTCTTACTTGAGATGTCTGTGAGCTGATCATACTGAAATTAAAATTATAACTTAAAACAGTGACATAAAGTGACCTTTATAGGAACATTCTCTTTACTCTGAGGAGGGTTAGGAATACGCTGTTCTGAAGCAAATGTGTGATTCGAAAACCCAGCTAAGAGAGACTGATTTGGCAATTCATTGTGTCCTACCAAAAACTTTTAGAAAGTCTGAAAAAAATAAAAAACAGACTTCACTCGGCTCTTTTGGAAAGAAAAGTATCACTTTTTTTCGGAATAATTTGTTTATAATTAATTCTATCCCATAAGAGTCTTTCTGCACCAAGTAAAACCCTCGTATTTGTGAGAATTTGATCCAGGAAATTATTTCCACGAGTCGGAAATTTGACGATTTTACAGGGAAATGTCGAAAAGACTGTTAAGACTGACATGGGTCTGTAGTGAGTAAATATATAACACGAGCTATCTTAAGCTCTTTGGGCACAACTCCTGAGGCTATGGATAAATTGACAATATGAGCTGAAGGATTAGAAATTATATCTATGTATTGTCTTACGACATCCATGATAAAATCGTTTAACCCAGTAGCTGTGCCTAGGCGTAGACTAGCACAGATCTTAATAATTTCTTGGCGGTAAGTGGGTAAAACACTGCATTAACTGCTATTTAGACCTGATGGAATTTGGATTTTTTTCTGCTGAAGTAAGTGCAAGGCAAGGGAAAAAACCATCAAAACCATTTGTTATTTCAACAAGATCGCTAATTTCATAATTAGTAACCTTAAATGTAGAGGTAAACTATTCTATTTAAGACGTCGGTTTATTACCTCATTGAGGATTCTCCACGTGTCTAAAGCGTTAGATTTGCAAGCATTAAGTTTATGGACGTAGTAATCACGTGTTTCTATTCTAAGTAAATGATTCAGTTTGTTTCAGAATGATTTCTATTGACATTTATGAGAAGCAAAAGGTAAGGATAGGATCGTTTTTCTAACCCATTATTTATCTAAAAAGATTTTAAGAGGCCTATTTTTAACCAGGACTTCTTAAGTCTCCTCAAGACAACTTTCTTTCTTCCTGCTTTTTCAGTTTATCTGAAAAAATTGCCATAAGCTGCTGTAAACATTTACATAAACTTACCATACACTTTATCTTCAAGACGTTGCACAAGGTGAACATAATCATCCTTAAACACATTCCTTAGTTCAAGTAAAGGAATTTTTTCTGGCGCGCAGCTCGCCAATTTCGGAAAATATCAACAGCCCACTTAACTTTGTATTGTGTACTTCAAGGCTTCGAATGTTCGAACAAAGAATCATCCTCTTGGAAACTGTTTGGCGGTCGAAACTGGAAGACTTGTCCTTAGCTTCTTTCTTCATTCATCAGAATTGCAACTGTGGAGGCCAATGCAAAGTGTGATTGCCTCTAATCAAAAACACAAAGTTGTTAAAAAAAACACAAAGACACCATTCATCACAATGACTAGCAAATACGTACTTGTATTGATGAAACAAAAGAAAGAAAAAAACTAAATATATGCGTGACTTTTGTTTTTGTTTTTGGGGTAAATTTTTAATAAATTAGACCCTTTTGAGAAGCTATTTCATAAAATTCGGGCTTCGTGTTTCCTCAGGGTCTCCTAACACTTAAAAAACAATCATCATCAGTTTCCTTGCGTTGAGAAACCCTGATGGAACACTTTTCCTCATTTATGATATGTTACTACTAAATCTCTCCATATATTTAAGGTGGTTTCCCCACGATAAGTGGTCCAGGAAATTATACTATCATAACTTATTTTATCAGAAAGAAAAATAGGTAGGTGATCTGACACATCCGAAATGATACCCCGCTATAACAAAAGTAGGTTTAAAATAGCTCTATAACCGTGTTAATAAGTGTAACATTCAGAAATGAAAACTATCCCCAAAATGTACATGTTTTTACATTCAGTGGATCGAGGCTTTAGGGGGCAGTGGCAGAGAATGGAAATAATGTCCTGTTTGCATGAACACGCGCGTGCTGGTATGGCGCTAATTGACTCTTTTGTTGTAGTATATATAAGGTCTGACAGTTGTAATTTATGCATCTCAGCTCTCAAACTTTCAACTGCTCGCAAGTCCGTCCGAGTCAGTAAGTAAACCTTGCAAAAAGTTTAATAGATATCAAAGAGTAGCCAAGAGTCAGACTTTCAACTTTGAAGAGAGAAATGATGACCAAAACGCAGCCATTAAGAGATTGAAGGCCTCGGCCTCATCGGTGCCAGAAATTCAAGAAAAAGGGCAACAAGAAACAGTTTGAAGTTGACACTCAAGTCCTTGACCACATTGAGACCGCTTCCTCTCTACTGAAATCCACACCACCACAAGTCGAGAAAGCCCTCGAGGAGCTTATCGCTGACTCGGCAGGGAGTTGTTGGGAAGTGGTAAGAGAATACGAAAGTAAAAGTGTCGCAGATGACAACGATAAACGTTTGAGGCGGGCAGAAGTTAGAGGTTCTCCGAAACGTCGCCGCTCACAATCTCAAGAGAAGGCTTAGGGTTTCCTTCGCAGTCGGCCGACGCCAGATCTCACCTTCTGTCCCATACTATTCATAAAGAACCAGTTTTACTGTAGCTGTTCCTTTCGCGCCCAACTGCTTGGAATCCCCAGTATCCCGACAGCTGCTCAAGAACGTATCTGAGTTCGTGGAGGATCTTTCTTCGCCTGTGGGAAGTTTGGATATTCGCGTGGTCGGTGCCCCGATGTGATTAGCCATTTTTCTGATTCATTGATTAGCCAGATTTTCCCTCGCAGTCGGCTGACGCGAGATCTCCCCTACCATGCCTTACTATTCACCAAGTGCTAGTTCTGCATGCTGTTCTTTTGGCGCCACTAACTTCGCCCCCCAAATTGTATGGAATTCCAAATGTCCCAGCAACTGGTCTCGTTCTGTTCTTGGACGATTTTACTTCGCCTATGGGAAGGTTGGATATTTTCGGAGTCAGTGGCCCGATCTGTTTAGCCATCTTTGTACATCTTTCAGCCAGCCAGCCGAACGAGCATTTGTGATGGACAGGGAATACTCTCGATCACTATTAAACACAGATAAGTTCACAGCAGCTCACAGTTCAAGCTGCACACCCATATTTGTCGTTTCTTAGTTGTGAATAGAAATAAGGAAATAGCTTTAAAATAGGGTAGAGAAGATAAAAATCACCATAAACATAGCATGAAATTCCATTACACTCAAAATTTCCTTAATCATGGCTATGAGATAGGGTACATATGGGCAAAATAGTTGGTGATCTGGCTTCTGTAATATCGGAACCGAGGAGTACTACCCTTTTTGAGACTGTGCACAGGCTACTCAACATGTCAATTCTTTGATGAATAAGACTTTCTACATTATTTTGTTTCCCTGGAAACTTTTTCAGACAAATACTCTGTTGGTTATCCGCATCCTTTACGTGATATGGCTTTCGGTTTTTAAGGAAAAATCATTTTGAACTTTAATTTTACCCTTTTGTATAAAATGAGGAAGTGAATGGGAAATGCCAGTACCATTAAGCAATCAAATATTAAGATCCTGACTCGAATTCCTGAAGCAGAAGCAGAGGAGGAGCGACTTTTCAGTATTTCCAATAACAAAAAAAAAAAACTTATATTTGTTTTTGTTTTAGTCTTAATGGCTCTTTGCCGATCATTTTTACCCTGAAGTTGACTTATTAGGTAGCAAGGACCCCTTTGTGTAAGTTTGTCTTAGGTAACGATTTATATTGATCTTCAACGAAAGCGGCATCATATCACAGCAAGGAACACGAACAAAGCAAGGTAATATTTCAATAAGCAATCGACAACCTCCCTAATGATTGAAAGTTCCTTCAATCTTGATCAGGAAAATTTGGAATCCCTCACCTTTTGTAGAAGCTCCGGTCTGTTTTTTCATTTATCAGGGGTTGGTAGGTCTGTTTTCAAGGGAACTCAAAGAAAGTGTGGTAGTGTTGATCTTTAAAAAACTGGTGTTCAAAAATAACAACACCATTTTGATCCACCTGGGTCAATTATCAACTTCAATGCCGTGCCTCGAACACATCCGCCGGAAATAGGAATCAAACCACACGCTACTAAAGTTAACGCTGACATATTATGGACTCAACTGGAGAGCAAAGACGCGTGAGCAGCTTGGAGAAAGTGAGCCGAACAAGAGCTGATCCCAACGAAACTTTTCGGAGACGTGTTCATTCGGCTATCCAAAGAGTAATAAATTCATCTACTTTGGCTGCTAGTATGCTGTCGCACTGAAACCCACACCAGATTTCGAAGTTGTGAAGCGGGCGCCCGACTCCTAAAGCCATTGGTAAGCTAAACAATTAGATATAAATATCGCTTTTCCTGCTTTCCCTGTTTATTGATTCGTTAGAGGAAGGAATCTTGCGTAGAATTGTATTTGTTATGTTGAAGTTTTCAATCTTTAAACAGCATAGAAAGTTTGGTTTAAAGAGTTTGTGGTGTAAATTTGACGCTCAGCCGGCTGAGTTACTCAAAGATTATTTGATCACGTGACCATATTTGAAGGATTGATAGAACGGTGGAACAAAGGAACGGTAGAACAGAGGAACGGCGGAACAAAGGAACGGCGGAATGACGGAATTTCCTTAAACGTTGAATGCCGGAATATCCCCTCAGGAATAAATACAATTATTTCAGATCTTGACTTTTTGTCAGCAAGGGGTTTCCCAAAGTTACAATATAATTCAAAGTTTCCTTGAGATGATAAAAGAGTCCAAGTGTCAGCATAAATATCTTAGTCCCTGGCTACTGCTTGAGTCACTGTTTAAATTTACCTGATATTATTTGTGGAATGCAGTCATCATGATTAACTATGGAGATGAAATTGACCCAGTTTTACCATATGATGTGAAAGAAAAATGTTTTGTTATTGGACATTAACCACATACAACTGTTACGTTCTCTAACAAGTAAGGGAGATGACACCACTCAACACAACAGAGTTTTTGACATATCTGGTGTGATCCTCCTACCGTCCGCTGCCCTTTGTAGTGGTCAGCGGCTTTGACTAGACTTCACGTTACTATAACAACTACTGACAACAATTGAAACTTCTCCATTTATATCTTATCAACAGATCAGTGATAAAGTTACATGATGTGTATATCACTGCTGTAAATTATAGGAGACACATTCAAACAAATGCATCTAGCAATAGCATTGCAATGATTCCCCTTATAACAAAAGTGTGTTTATTTTTCAGAGTCACTTCTATCTCCTGACTTCAATCTAATAATGATCCTTTTTAATGCATCTGAACCACACTGTCTACTCCATATTGGCCCTTGCTTTCAATCAAATGCCTCTGAAAATCATGATAAAATGATTCCCTTTATAACAAAAATTCATTTCTTTTTCAATAACACTTTCATCCCCTGACTTCAATCAGATAATAATCCTTTTAAGTGGCAATTTGGCCCTTTTTTCCCCCAAAATCTATACAACTTATATACACCTATACCAATATTTTAAACTGTTTTGTGTTCATGTGTGCAAAGTTCATGAGACATTTGAGTTGATTAATTAACAAAGTGGTATACTGATAATGCTCTTGTTTTTTATTGCCAACTCACCAGTCAAAGAACTTCTAACCCAGGACCTACTTGTTCCCAGTGAAGCTATTGCAGAAGGAAATAACTTAGAGCAAAGATTATCAAGAATGTATTTAAACTTATTCCATAATCAACTAAACCAGGTGATGATACTTTGACAGCCGTACCAAAGTCTATAGCCAAACACTTCACCCCCAAAGGATACCAGATCATTGGAGACAACCTGGATCTTTGTATTAATGCTAGGCATAAGTACAGTGAAGCAATGAAAAAAATCCATCCACCACGGTTTATATGATGATGTCTAATTATATATTTATAGTGATAATACACAAATAACTCTTGAGTAAAATGTATGTTGCCAGTTAAATAAATATTTGACCAAAAATTGTCAGAGTACCTGATAAGTAGTTACTTAGACTGTTTCTTTTGTCTGTTGACAATCTTTGTTTTTTGTTTAGATACCTCTTGGTTGCCTTCAAAAATATGAAAGGAGAATGTCTGCATATGGCCTGAGTTTTCTGGTGAGTGTAGTCTCAAACTTCAGCCGTGTGTGTTTCCCTTTACTAACCCCCTGAGGTGTTAAACACAAGGGGCTAGGGGTGAGGAGAAGGTGGAAAGCTCAGTATACAGGTGCATGTTAATTTTAAATTAGTTCTCAAAATGATTTCCACAGTTATTGTTTGCTAAACCTGTGTATGTATCCCTGTTACTTACCTGCAAAACAAGTCTACTTAGAAAGCCAAGGGAGGCTACTTGACCTGTGAATAATACTTACCATTTTTATCACACACATTTTGCCCTGTCCCCCTTTTCCAAACAGAAATCAAACAATTAAATTGTACTTTCAGGGACTGCAGAACATATTTTACATTGGTAGGGCTAGCTTGTGCTATAAGCAAGCTCAATGAGCACCCAATTTGAAATTTTGAGCTTCTGAAATCACCAGAAACACGTTTATTTCTTTCAATCCAATGAAAATTTTTTAAAAATTTGTATAAATGTGTACTTGAGACAGCTCTCTTATAGTTGGCATTATTGGGGTCATTGTTGTTGAGCAAACCAAAGGTAATTTTCTCAATGCAAAAAAAAGGGTGAAATTATTGGTGGAGCTATAACCCATCAAGCTCCATGGTCCTTGACTTTACCTGCTACAGTATAGTAAAGTTACAAGTGTATCAAGTTTGAAAATAATGATTTCAGTAGATCTTATAGGTAAGTTTAGACAGTTATGTGATGAAGAACTGTATGACTCTTTGAGATCCGCACATTAGTCTCACCCCTAGTGTTACTATAAAAGTGGCAAAAGGCTTAATACGCAATGGCATATTGATGGGAAAGTTCATGTAAACATGGAATGATTTAATCATGTTGTTGGCCTGCAACTTACTCTATGTGGATTTCTCTAAAATGGCAGTCAATACATACAAGGGGAAAACTACACCTTTTTTCCAAATTTGGAATCACAACCTACTGATCTAAGTTCAATGTAAATGATTTTATTACAAATACTGTAGTTATATTTGTACATATAACAAATCAACCACATTTTTCTATGTTCTACACACCTATGACATCATAAAATGTTCAAGACTTAAATAGAACCATGAGCTGTCAGGCAGGTGGTTTCACTGTTAGGTGAGGGGGTGGGGGGTGAGGGTAGGAGAGCATTCTTGTAGATGTATTTTTATCAAAAGAATGTTGCTATGACACAACTGAATCTGGGTTATATTGCAACTAAAGAGAAAATCTGCTCTATTCTTGGTTTGCACGTGATGTCACACTCGTATTTGATATTTCCTGTCCGCCATCTTGGTGTACATGTGGCTCATTTGCATATGTCAAACTGCCCATGTCTGCTATGTTTTTATTCAAGTCTTGCGAATGTCTGAAGTTTTACAATTGATTCCAAAGAAAATGACGGCAACTAAAGTGAAAATATCAAAGAAGAAAGTACTAATGTGTTATCTGAGTATGTAAAGGGTCTTGAAAGTCGCGTTAAACGCCAATATTTAGGAAAAATAGCCGCAATCAGAATTGATCCAGCATTATTAGTAGTGGCAAAGTTAGATCCAGAATGTATCCCGTTGATCGAAGCAGCTGATCTTCTCTCATATTTAGTGCTGGAAACCAGCTATTACACGCTGAAACAGTT